CATGTTGACTGCAAGGCCGGGCCTGGGCAAGCGCATCCTGCCGTGGGGGCTGTCGCGGGAGCAGCCCCCCGAGGTGCGCAAGGAGGGGCTTCTCAAGTACGGGCTGCTGGACGAGACCTCCTTGGACAGCGGGACGCGCTGGCAGCGCTGCCGCCTGGTGCTGCGGCGAGCAGGGACACCTGACGGCGAGGAGTACGTGCTGGAGCTCTTCGACCCAGCCAAGGTAAGGACCTGGCTTTTGCCCGTTTCGGCCAGTCGATGCTGCGGGTCGAACCCTCGGCGGCGGGTTGGGGATGATGCCAGGGTGCCGGCATGTCCCATGGGGAGGAGCAGAGCCTGCACCCTGTATTTGAGACCTCTGAGAAGGAGAGCCACTGCCACAGGCTTGCGCTCAGGGCTTGCATTCAGAGGGCAAAAGATGCCACGACCATGTGCAAGGGCGATGTGAGCACTGATTATTGCAGTCGGTCGAGATGCAATTGCATTTCTCCTTGCTGGGACCCCAAACCTGGCTTTTCCAGCTAGAAGCAGAGCGCCTGCTTTGCTCTCAGGTGCAGAGCTGAGGATGGGGGCTGGTGGCCTCCGCACCACTTGTTCCCAGCCCCGTAGACCCACCCCAGCAAGGCGGGGGGCTAGTGAACCCCAAATTCAACCCGTCCTTGTTGTGCTGTGGCTTCAGCAGCCAGGGCATCTGCTCGCGTGGGCAAGCTAGGAAAGGAAGGGGAAAAAAGAAATTAGGCTCTGTGCCTTCCTCTGCTCCCCGTGGGACCTGTAAGGGACTTTAAATTTATTTTTGTAAGTACTTTTGTGGCTAGAAATTCAGATCTCAGCTACCCCTGGGAGTTCCCGTGGTGCTTAGATGCCGGCTGGAGCGGAGATGATGCAGGATGTGAGTGAACAGGGAACGATGCGGGGGGAGCCGTGGTGTTTAATCTTTAAAAAGATAGTTCCTCCACATGGAGGTCTTACGCAGGCCTGATGGGCTGTGTTTTCTTTCTTTTTCCTTTTTTTTTTTTTTTTTGTGTGCTTGTTTAACTTTGATGACTAACTTGTGCTTCGGAAAGAGGAAGCCTCGGGTAGAGCCAGAGCCTTGTCCCTGCCTTTGGGCTGTGTTTGCTGCTCACCGCAGCGCTGGGCCAGGGAGCAGCCGGCTAAATTCCTGCTATTTCTGTCAAACAACCCCAATATTAAGTATTTTTAAAAAAACAAACAAACAAAACCACCAACACCAAAATTGTAAAATCTGAAAGTAAAAGCTGGTTTTGCTCTGTTGTGTCAGGGGTTGCAGTTGTTTGTCCCTGTGGGAGCATGTGTCCCCATCCCAGGGCACGGGGAGGTCTGGCTCCGAACAGCATCACTTTGGGGCTCTTTGAGGGTGCTTTCAGCAGCCGGGCAGCGCTGCTGGGTGCCAGCGTGGTCCGGACCCCAGCTCACCCAGATGGCACTGGGCATGTCGGACCCAGCTGCAGGGAACGGCCTGGCCGCTGGGGAGGAGGTGTTGGGCTGGTGCTATTTCAGATGCTGCTGCCAAATTTGCTGCTGGCTTTACTGCTCCTCATCCTTGGTGTCTGTTGCCCAGACCTGCCCTTGGGGCTTTGCAAGAGCCAAAAATAAAAGCAAAGCAAGGGGATGCCCTCCCGGGGGTGGTTGTGCTCCCCGGTGGGGGGGGGGAGGGCTTTGGCACTTGGCGCTGAGCGCGCCCCTCCTCGGGCACCCACCCCTGCACCCTGGGCACCAAGCCTGTGCGGTTTTTTTTCCCCTGTGCACATTATGGCTGCAATGGATTTGGCTGCCTCCACACCAGGTAAAATCCCCGGTGACCCGGCACAGCTGTGGGGGAGAGCCGAGCTGTCCTTTCTGCCGAGCTTTTTCCCCCAAAGGCTTTTGGGTGCAACACAGGGAGCAGAGCCATCGCACCACTGGCACTTGCACACCGGACGAGCGCCTGGTTGGGCCCCTGCTGTGTCCCGCCTGCCCCAGGACCTGGTGCTTGCAAACACTGCTTTTTCCTTTTTTTTTCTTTTCCTTTTTTTTCTTTATTTTTTTTCCCCCTCCCTCCCCCTGGGAAGCAAGCCCAGTGCACAGCACATTCTTCCTCTCCCCGCAGCCCCTGACCGGCTTTGACCCATGGGCGGGAGGCATTTAAAACAAGACATTTAGCAAGTTCACCCAGCGCTCTGCAGCGTTATTCCTTGCAGTTTGCAACAAATCTCCATCCCACGGAGATTTCCCGGTGAGTCCCCGTCACCGCGAGGCTGGGGACCCTGCGGTCCCCCGGGGCCCCGAGCAGGGGGGTTTCTCAGCCAGATCTGTGGAAGGGGGGATGTTCCTCGCTGGATTCCGCGAGTCTCCGGAGTAAATTGCTTCCTGTGCAAATATTCCCAGGGTGGGTCCTTCCTTTCTAATTAACTGGGCCGGGGCCAGATCCCATCTCCTTTACAGCAGAATCAATCCAGCCCCTTTCCCAGTAACTGTGGTTGAATTCTGGGGGCGGTGGAAAGCCCCCCACAGTGCTGGTGGGTCCCACTCCCCAAACCCAGCAAGGGGGCAAACCGTGGAGCAGTGGGAACGGAACAGCTTGTTGGTGGTTATTTTTTTTTCCCTTTAAAGTAACTAAATAATAACCAAGAATTCCCCAAGGAAGGCTGTGGGGACCCCCCTCCCCTCCATCCTCTGGCCCTGGGATGCTCACAGGGCTTTGCCGCTGCCTTTCGCCCGTGTCGTGGATTTGTTCCTGATTTGAAGATGCTGTTGATGATCATGGAAGATTAATGGTTTTAAATAAGCAACTGTAAAAACAATCCTTGGGTGCTTTCATCCCCAGCTGGTCTCTGGACCGTTAGGCTTGGTCACCCTCGAGGTATCCCCAGAAGCGCCCTCCTCTTCTCCCTTTCTGCCCTTTAAATAATACAATGTAAATGGAAACTCAGCCCAGCCCCCCAGCTTTACAGCATCAAGCCAAGCCCCCAAATATTCAGCGCCTTGCAATGACCTTGGAAAGTCAGGGTGCCTGGGAAAGGGGGTGGCCCCATGCGTGCCCCACCGTGGCTCGGCCATTGCTCCCTTGCTTTGCTTTTGGCAGCTTTTATCTTATTTCCCTCCCTCCTTTCCCCCCCAGTGCGCTCCAACGGGGCCTCTCAGCCTAATCCTGTAACGTGCCTGGCATCAAAGGGAGCAGGGCACTTTGAAGAGCCCTAATCCCATTTACTGCTTGGGTGGCTGCAGCCAGGGCTGGGCTGGGCTGGGTGAAGGGGTGAGTGTCGGGGAGCCGTGCCAGAGCCGCCCAGTCCCTGCGGCGCTGCCCAGCATGGGCATCCCGTCCCCCAGGGATGTGCCGGTCTCATGGGAGCTTCAGCTGGATGAGATGGGGCTTCCCATGCTTGCAGCCGCTGCTGGGTTGGTTTTGGCATCGCTCCTTCCTCCCTCGAGCGCTGGAAAAACGATGTTGCAAAGGCGGGATTTGGAGACGGTTGGATCCGGAGCTCTCCCGGGAGCGGGTCACAGCCGGGCTGCAGGGCACCGGTGGGCTCAGGGTGGGGGGGGTGAGGTCACCCGGACCCCCACCCTGGGGACATGCTGGAGGATGCCGGTGTGGTGGGGAGAGGAGGGGTGCGAGGATGATCTTAGAGGTCTTTTCCAACCTTAATGATTCTATGATGCCGTGCCACCGACCGGGGCCAGGGTGAGGTGAGCCTCTGTGGCACGAGGCTGCTGGGGCCGGACCCGGCACCAGTGGGGCCATCCTGATGTGCGGAGCGCCTGGAGCAGGGGGATATCGGGGTATCTATAATGCTCGTATGTATGGGTGTGTATATACATGTGCACAGGAAAACCAGTGAAACCCTGGGTACGGTCCTAGGCACGCAGCCCAGGTGGATTCTCTGATGTCTAGTATGAGGGTGATGCTCGCCAACCTCCCTCCTTTCTGTGGAGGTACTAAGGGCTTTCTCCTCTACCACGCCATTTATTCTCATATAACTTGTAGGATTGGGAGCTGAGGCCTCTCCACCTTCATAAATTTAAGCCAAAGCTGGCAAAACACGTTTGCATGTTTTAGGGCAGCCCTGCGGGGTTTCGGGGCTGCCCTGTTCATCAGCTGAGCCCCAGCCCCAAGTGCGTTTTATATGGTCAAGTCCTAAACTCCATGAAAACTGTGATTTGCAACGGAAATGTCCCGAGCTATTTCTGTTGACCAGATGTTTTTACAGGAAGCGGAAGGGAAATGGGATTTGCATTTGCGCTGGTTTCTTTATAGTGTTTTAATGAAATCCAGTGCATCCCAGAAATTGATGGCATGCGGAGACGAGCCGGGAAGACTTCTTCCGCTGAAAACCCGTGGTCCCTGTGTCACGGCTTGTACGTCTTCAGCCGTGGCCACAAGAGGAGCAGTATTTTTATCTCTGCTCAGCGTGAGACTGCTTTGACTTCCTTTTTTTCTTTCTTTTTCCCCTTCCTTTCACCTGAAGCTGGTTTCTGAGAACTGCCACCTCCTGAGCAAGCAGGTCCCACACCCCTGGGCTCCGATTTTTGGCATCTGGGGCTCTACACGGCAGCCAGCCAGGCACGTGGTGGGGGACATCCCGGCGTTGTGGTCCCCATCCTAATTCCTTCTGGACCTGCTTTGTACCTCCAGGAGCAATTGCAGCTGCTCAAACGTGGCTTTAAGTGACTCAACCGAGGACATACGGAGAGGCAGTGGTGGAGGGGGAGCTGCTGCTGGTTCCTGCCCATGGGGATGGAGAGGCCACATTTTAGGAAGCCTTGACCCCAGCAGCAGCTGTGTTTGCATCCCTATCCCAGGCAGGGACTTGAGCAAACCCCCTTTTTTTACAGCACAATGCTTTGCTTCAAATCCAAACCACCTTTCCTCTTATTAGTGACCTGTAATTGTGCTTAAAAACTGGACGTGCCAAGTTGGATGCAGAAATGCCCTTCTTGCCACTGCAGCTCTGTGAGCTCCTCCGTTCCCCTATTCCTGCACAAAATGATGCAAAATGGTCTTTTCCTCCCAGGGCCACCATGAGCGGGTCACCCGCTGCCTGCAGGCTCCTGTGGGCAGCAGGCACCCTGTAAGAAGGGGTTTGCTGGTGATGGGAAGCATCTCAATGTCCCTTCATCACCCTGGCCTGGGGAAAGGCACGTTTGTGTCAATCTGGATCCCATTTGGTGTCGTTCATCCTGTGAGCCGGAGCAGGCTGGACCACATGTGCTCCTGCCCTCGTC